TTCATCGACAAACAAGACTATAGCAAAAGCGATTGCGAAGGAATCTGTTTTGAAAAATGGGAAAAAGAAGCAAAAAATAATGAAACAGAGGAGAAATAGAAAAAGCAAACAGACCAAAGGAATCAAAAATACAGATGGAAATGAAAAATTGCAAATCAAAAATACGAAAAAATCCGATGTAGGAAAAAATGCAACTAAAGTAGAGAAGGTAAAAGAAGGTAACATTAATGCAGCAGCACCAGCTGAGGAGAAGATGAAAAACACACTTCCATTGCCACGTATACCAAGTATTAAAATGGATGTGATTCGGAATGTAAATACTTCCAAGACTTTCTCTGTCAAAGAGAATAATAAGGGTATAAGCAAAAAGCGAAGTAGGGACAAGTTTATTGAAGTCACAAAAAGGTTATTAAAGAGAAAGAATGACACTAAAGTGTACCAAAACGAAGATAAAACTCCCAAAAATGAAGAGCTCTTTTCTAAAATATCAACTCCGAAGGAAAATAAAGAGGGTTTAAAATCCAAGGTAATATCAAGTAATAGAGAAACTGAACCAATACGTAAAAGAAAACTTTCAGAGACCAGTCTCAGCATTTCAAAACAGACTGAAAACTTTCCAAATACATCAAAAGAGACATTTCGAAGTCAGAAAAACCAGAGCATGCTTTTACAGCACAATCCCGCAAAATTCAGTTTGAGCACCAACGTCACTCGGCGTACAATTGTTACACAGAATAAGACAATGATAACAACAATTCCCAAAAAGGAAGAAAAGAAAAGAATTGACGAAGGATATACTAAGTCAAACAAGCTAAAGGATGGACACAAATTAATTTCAGGCACTGAAACTATTTTAGTTCCGGCAAATGTCAAAGAGGAAATTAAAACCACTATAAGTGATAGAGCGGAAACTTCATCAAAAAAAGAAACAGTGTTACCCTCAGAAGTCTTCTCTGTAACAGCTTTGACGTCAACACAAGTCACCCCGGTAAGAACTGATACGTCAATGCTACCTTCGCCAATACCATCAATAGTTGAACGTACTGTAGTGAATACTTTGCTTCCTAGAACTACAAAACCCTTGTCTGGTCAAATAAAACAAACTTTGTCTAACCGAATTAGTGATTCCAAATTGCCATACGGTTTGGTGTCTTCTGTAGAAAAAGGATTCCTAGACACACTATCTTCATTCACTCAGACATCTAACGATGATGGAGCGATGAATAAAGTTATTGACAATAAACCTTTAATTAGAAATGCAACTGTAACAGTGGTTCAGCCAAAAACTGCAGAGACAGTTAACAAAACATCGTTACGGAGAGGAGAAAGGGGTTATTTGTCCCTTATACAAACAAACAGGAAACCAGATGAACGCAAAGAAAACAGATCACAAAACACAAAAGATTTGGACTCAGAACTAGAGTTACCTTTATCTGAAAATAAGTTGGAGTCAATGATACCCCCGCCTCCTGTGATCCCGACATCAACAGCCCGAACGGCAACAGAACAGATTATTCGATTCATAGGGAAAGCGTCTGATCTTGTAGAAAAATTAAATGGAAAAAAGAACAAAATGTCGAATATGTTGATAAATAATGATCATGAGAAGGGAAATGCATTACAACCTACTTTCGAACCAGTAAAAAGATATAACAATTCATCTATTGAAAAAACAAAGAATTTAACAGAAAGTATTTCTAATGGTTATCAAAATCCAGACTTTCTAAACAAGAATCACAGAAAAGTTACAAGCGAGTTACATGATTTGGACAAAGATCTTGGAAAGGGACAACGCATTCTAGAAGATTATAGAAAACTTTTGATCGGTAAGAAAAGAAGCATTAAAACTTCTGCTTTTGATTCCGACATAAATAGCATGCATCAAAATGTTCTCCCTGGAGTTAATTCTAAAACGGTTCTTAATAAAATCAATCCAAACGGGGAACAGCCATTTGTTGAGTGGTTAGCTCGTCGGGATAATCTTCAACAGAATAAAGCTATTCCTCCACAAATTCCCACAATACCTGATGGACCTCAAAACAAGAAAACAAAAGTTTTTTCAGGTAATTCTATTCCAGATATTCTGAAATCAAACCTAAATTCCGGAGGATACACAAAACCCCTATTACCATCTGTGAAAATAAACGGAACCTTAGGGCAACGATCATATTCCTTACCGTGTAACTCCTCACTGGGAAAGGAGGAGATAATGTCTCTAGCGGTGAATGTGCTTCGTCTCCTCGTTTCTAATTTGAAATTACAGCAAGCTCTGCAGCGTTCGCATGAGAATATTGTATCGACAAATCTTCTCAGTCGAAAGTACCTTTTGATACCATTACCACAGGGAAACACACAAACCAATGACTCAGATTTCCATGCGAATAAAATTGATAAGCAGATTCGAAAAGCCAGTTATTCATCTTCAAGGTTTTTACAAAATCAGATTGAAGCTTTTCTGAAGAAAAGTCCTGTGCAAGCCAACATGGATCAGACACCCCTAGTTAAACGAAGGTCAATTCTAGAAAAAACATCTACGAAACAATTGAGCCAAAAATGGTCGCCTGTGGTAGGCAGGAAAATGAGAACAAAAAACAGTCAGAAAGGTAAACGAATTCGTCAAAATGCATTATTACGCAAACTGTCTACACGGAGTGTGCAACACAAAGAAGAGAAAGCTTTACAGTCAACATATCGGAAAAATGAATCTAAAAATGACGGTGTTGAAAATCTTTTATCAAAACCAGAGACACGGATAAAATTCCATCCAAGAAAATATTAAAATAATTTAAAGATCTCTTCATACATTGTGGTGCTTTAAAGTTTATTTTATCCATATATCTTGGTTTGAAAAACATATTTAAAGTGATTTTGTTGTTTTCCATTGAGCTACAGAGATTGATTTAACTTTACGCTGATACTCACAGCCCTCAGGAATAAGTGGAAATAATGGAGGCATTTTCGCTGAACGATGCAGGACTTTATTATCATTTAGCATCTTATTTCTTAACATGTCTAATACACCAATCATAAGGAGGGTTAACCTATACATGGATGATAGTTTATCATTAACTTTGTGTAACAATTATATTCTGATTCATTAAAATTGTGTTTTCCTCATAAACAACCTCTATGTAGATCTCAGAATTCAAATATAATGTAGAATGGTCTCATTAAAGATTTATTAAAACCAACAAGCAAATTAATTCTGATTTACAGACAATAATTCCATCGATCCTTTACAGGGTATTATATTTGTGTAACCGTTAAGACCCTTGGACCTCTTGCTTGAAAGATATTACATGTACTGTTTTATATAAATTATATATTTGTATTTAAATATAGTAAAAGACCGATAAAAGACACGAGTAAGATTTTGCTAAGGAAATAAGATGAAAACGCCCATTATTGTAGATATGACTAAATTTTTTTGTTGTTGTTGGAAACGTACCATTTTAGGAAAAATTCTCAATACCTATTTTAGGTAATGAAACCAAAAATCGAGAGAAATTGGGCTTTTATTACATTAGATTCTTGATAATGTTGTTTGAAATTCAAATTAATTTGGTAAATTAGAGTATATATATATATATAGAGAGAGAGAGAGAGAGAGAGAGATTTCAATTTTCTTCATGTTTGTCTAACATGCGAGTAAAAATTATTGTCTAATCTGAGTATTTTCATTAAAGATCATAGCAACAATACACGAAGGGGATTTTTATGATTTGCATTTTGTGGTTGTTCAAGATCACATCTCACTCTCATTGTGAACGTTCGGCAAATCAATATGTCTTCTTTCTGTTATTTTTTAAAGAAATTAAATGCATGTATTTTCTTAGCCATTGCGGGAATTCATATATATATATATATATATATATATATATATATATATGTATATGTATATGTATATATATATATAAAGCTTAAGCACAGATGATACAAACAAACTTTTTTTCAAAATCCATAAAAATAGCAACTAGTTAAGTTTTATATAAGCAAAATGAATAAATTTAGCAGCTTAGATTTTAATTATTCATTCAAAATGTGTTCTATAAAGTTATTTAAAAATTGTATAGATTTCTAAGGCTGATTGGACAAAGAATTTTGAACATCATTGAAAGTTTACAATCTCTTAATATTTTAGAATTTGTTATTTTCATCATTTACAACCAAAATAGGTCGAAACATATATTTTTTGTTTGCATCATCTGTCCTTAAGCATTCTTTCGCCCGTTGTGTGCACTTTCATGGATTGGGCCACGAAACAAATATTTTGCTAAACGCAAAAAATTTGTCTTTTGTCGAAATAATATCAAAACACCTGGAAGTAAAATTTCCAATCGATGTTGAAGGGGCAAGACCATGATTCAATAAGAAGTTTTTTTAAAAAAACGGGATTTTTAAAGATTTATTTGATTCTAAAGAAATGTGACTGACATGAGGGATGTGACCTTTGGTCCTCTCTGTGGCTTTATTGCCTTGCTCTTAATTATTTCATATGTCGAAATTATGTGAGTGGGTTAAAGTAAAAATTACTTAAGATCACAAAGGTGCGTAAAGTTTTATTTATTCATCTGTATTTATACATTTAAATTCTTTAAATAAATCAAAAATTGAAATCTTAGTCAAAAGTCAAAAACTGGATAAGCAAGTGTATATTACAGCAGTATGCATACAAGATATTATGGTTTTTTTTTAACATAATAAAGCATTAAAACTCTTGCATCTCCTTCCATAAGAAAAAATAGCAATCCAGTGCTTTGAATTGGCATCACACTTCTTCAGATATGATTTTGTTACATTACTAATATATATATTTATGGAGACAAAGGATAAAGCAAACTTAAGTTGCATATGAATGTAACGAGAGCAAGTCAATTCACTTATGTAAAACATGCCACGAAAGACTGGCTGGCTACTTACGGTAGAGCAGGAAAAATACATTTCTTAGTAATTATGCAAATGTTGGTTACACTTGTCGCATGCAAATGTTTGATAAATCGTTACACGTGCACAATAAACAGACAAGTTATTAGAGTCGCAAGGACTCCTATTTTGATTTTGAGATTGTCCCCGTTGGTTCCACGAGATCCTGACCTAGGCGTTGTAGACGGTGTTTGTCTTTCAGTAGTTTTGGATGCTTCCTCGACCTTAGGTGGACTTGTTTTTACATCATTCAATTTGGTTGAGAACGGGGATGTTTTGCTGATAGTTGTGTGACGCCCAATTTCATTTGTCTTCGTATGCGTGCTCTGCGAAGTGACCTTGACTAGAAATGATGTAGTCGTAGATTTATGTGTGGGTGTAGAAAAATCAGCTTGCAGTGACGTATCTAACAATGTTTGATTCGGTGATGATGACGTTAAATGAAGTTTTTTGGTTGTAGTTGTAGTTGTCGGTGACGTCAGGTCCTGTAGAATTTTTTTTGTCGTCGTAGGTCTACACAAGGTTAGGTAGCTTTGATACCAGTCTGACAGACTAATTTTCTGAGAGTCTTTCGTCATTACATCACAGTAGTTGTAGTCTATAAATAGCTTGTAGGAGGGGTTTTCAAAAATCCAGTTTATTTTACAATCGCACTTGATATTGTTACTAAACATTATGAAAATATTACTTATTTTTGGATCATATAATTGGGGTTCAACACTTAGGAAATGATTATTTGAAAAGTCAAATGACGTAATGGATGAGAAGTTTGTAAAACAATTCTCTCTGACGATTTCGATGGTGTTGTTTTGAAACTGGAATAACTTCGTTTTCTGTACATCACTGAATGACGCAGTTTGGAGTTCCCCGATATAATTGTTAGTGCATACGATTTGATCATCTGCTTCAATTATTGAAAGAGCGTGCGACTCAATAATGTCAATATTATTGTATATAATTGAGATTGACGAAATGTTCATATCAAAGAAAGCAAACGACTCAAATCGAGTAATATTGTTTCTTTGGAATTCTACGTCGCTAAGGTTAAGTAGATTCGTGAACGCAAGACTAGCAATGGTGTCTATATTAGAAAATCTGACGTAGACACTTTTAATCTTAGGTGACAGAAAGAAAGCGTTTTGTGGAATAGAGCTCAAGTTCGAGTACAGAATTTGAAGTTGGGCAGTACTTTTTGGAAAATATGAAGGAAAATCCTGTAGACGTTCGCAAATGACGTCAGTTTGCTGGGTATCGTCATCTTCAGTGCATCGACAGCCACCGGGGCATAGCGTTGTGGTACTCACAAAGGATATTCCCAAGGAAATAACCAAGTAGAAATATGACACTGAAAATAGAATTCTCAAAACTGTGGTATCTTTTACTGTTTGTCATTGTTTTTCAAGGTACATTAAATAATAGATATTTGTTGTTTAATTTTTTTTGTCCTTGTTGGTTCATTCTACAACACAATTTTTAAAGGGAAAAAGACATTCTTACCTGAAATCAAGGGTCTATTAGTCTCTCTCATTTGTTTATACATTTTGATTTTATTTTATTCCTTTTTTACATTCATACGTTCTAGATATAATAATTAAAGGTTTTTTTTCTAAACATTTCACAGTGTTATCTCTTTGTTTCGCATTCTGGGAAAGATATTTATTTAGAAATCTGAAGTGTAAAATTCTATGTTTTAAAATATTTATTACTTAACACTCTAGAAAGTACTTAAGTTACGTTTGTGCTGCCCAACCTCACAAGACCTTTTCTTTTTTTTCTCACGCATTTCAAACACCTTCTATCAGAACCTTCTATCTGAACAGTTTTTGTGCGTCGTTTGTATTTGTCATCTTTGAGCCGTGTGACTTCAAACTTTTACCAAACTCCAAACTCACATGCATATGTTATCGATGACTGACTTAAATAAAGATTTTGGAATTTTTTTCTTCTATTCCAAATAGTCAGCAAGACATTTTTACAACTTTGAACCGTTTAATTTACGCTTAAATAAGGCCATACTTGCTAGACTTCTTTTTATTTTGATTTGAAAAATGAATTTATAAGATAATAAGAAATGTGAATTTATCAAAATTGTGGGAAAGGAGACGATAGTAATTCTGAAGAAATATGAAAACTTACAGAGGTTTTTTTTTACCTAATAATTGATAATTTTTTCCCTCTATGGTTATATTTAACCGCGACTTGATTATAATAAAAATGACTTTTTAATCTGAATATTCTTATTACAAGTACAGTCTATGTGTGTTAAACGATCCTTGCAAAAAATCGCATGAATATAAAACGGCTGGTAAAAATAACTCAGTATTATTTTTTCACAGTTACATGTATTGTTTTATTTTTGTAGATGAAGGTTATAATTTTGCATTCAAACGTTTCATTCGATTGAGGAGGAAAAAATTACAGGATTGTGATAATAATGTTTACTTTTTTATAAGTATTATGCTTCATTATCAAAGCAATATGGACATCGACATTTAATGCAATTTAATTAAAATTAATTAAAATAAATAGAGTAACAAAGAAACTTCAGTAGATCTCAAATTCAATTGAAAATGAAAATAATGGACATTTATGCAAAACAAAATGTTTTTACTCTCACGTTAATTTAAAAAATGAAATAGAATTACTACTAGTAAATTAAATCAAACTTACTTTTTAGAGCGTTATGGTCTTGATGCTGGACTTTTCACAATGTTCTCAGGCAATGATAACGTTCTGTTTTTCTGACTCTTAAGATAATTATTTAGAAATACAGGTGTTATCGTGGATGTTTGACCATTTGTTTTCACCCCTCGGTTTTTCTGCTAAATTTTCCTGTTGACTCCTATCTTTTCGGGATGTGTATAGTATGCGAGAGACAGAAGTTTACGGCGTAAGGAAAAACACGCACAAACAGACAGATAAACAACGATATGGTAAATCAATAGCCCTATTCATAAGTACATTTTTGCGTCAATACATGCGACAAATTGGAAGTAATTTTTTTCCATATTAATGATTGCGAATAAAGAGATAAAATCAGCTTATTTTTCTTATCACAATAAAAATATACATTTAATTATCAAATGACTGATTTTTCTCCAGTAATAACAAAGACCTATCTTTAAGACAACAAGACTGGAGGAAAAAATACGATCTATATGTGTATAATATTTCATAATTTGCTTATACAATTGATTATTCCTTATATATATTGTCTCTGATAATTAAAGTATATTAAAATATGTTAAAGAATGTTGAGGAAGGTACTAGTATTGTTTTATATTCCACAATTTACTAAGTGCTTTGTTCACCTGCGTGGCGCAGTGGTTAGAGCGTTTGCTCTAGACTCGCGGAGTAAGTAGTTGATCCTTACATTGCGGGTTCGAATCCCGCTGTGGTCCTTCGGATAAGACCGTATAAACCGAGATCTCTTGTCGCAGTAGGTGCTGGCACGAAAAAGATCCCTCACTGCTCAATGGCCCAAAGTGCCGAGTATAGGTCAAAATTTGCAGCTCTCCACCGGCAAGTGGTGATGTCTCTATATATGAGTGAAAATTCTCGAGAGGACGTTAAACAATAATAAACAAACAAACTAAGTGCTTTGTCTAAGTCCGTAATCTGAAACATTTAATATACATCACTCTGTACTTTGTTCACATTAAATGCATGCATTATAATTGATGCAAGTACGTGTATGATGATGGATGTAAATGCGTCTATTATAGTGGATGTAAATACATGCATTATAATGGATATAAACACTACGCACACTGGCTTTAATGCGGAACAAAGAGGCGTTTACCTTGTCATTCATCTGTTGACAGTATTTTTGGACGAATTGCCGAGCAAACCCGGATTAAAGATTATCCATTTGTTTTTGTCCACAATGTCGTAAAGTAATGTCTGTTGTAGGTAAGCAGTCCATAAATAAAGAATGTTACGTATATCAGCCCGAGTGGCCCCATATGATCAGCCCTTGGGCTGATATGGGGTCAAGGGCTGATATGGGGTCCGAGGGCTGATTTGACATATGAAATGGATTTCAGTATGTAGTATTCTATTTATCATAGATATGTAAGTTCACATAAAGTCATTGAGGAATGTTTCGTGCATGTTTATGACCCTTTTCTTTAAAATCTAATAGAGCCGGTTTTAGGTCTACAAAGGTTACTTCCGGTTTGATATGGATTTTTGCACGCCGGTCCTATACGTGATATGGATTTTTGGACCGGTCCTTGATATGGGGTATTGTGACGTCACCCGTATTGCACAGTGCAGAATCGGTGTATTTACTCCTAAATAAAAAATTTTATACATACATTGTTGAAAAATCATCATGAGAGCTTCAAACATCGTAATGGATATAACCTTGACCTCTGACCTTGACATTAGATAATCATTGACTTCTGTTGTGGATGATCTATTGATATATGTATGACTATACTTGATAGATAGATAGGAGGAGATATTTCAAACATTACATTGAAAGTGGCCTTGGTCTTGACTTTGACGTTGAAACCGGAAGGAACTTTAGATTGCCTGATTGTCAGTCTGTCCCACTTGTTTTTCCAGACTTTTTTCTCTTCAGACTTGCAGATATTGAGTTCAATTTTTTTTCTATGCTATATATAAATGACCATAGTTTAGTCATTCTCTAGAAAGTTTTAGAACTAATTACAACGCAATGCTAATTTGCATATTTGCATATTTAAGTTTGTTCAAATCTTGGCCCCAAAGGTTACTGGTAATGTTAAAAATTTACACTGGAATATATACATGCAAGAGAAAAAAAATTATCTCAAGTTCAGTAAGGACTTGCTTGGTAATGTTCATTTGCAGGCATTCTCAGGCAGTACAGATTCAAGTTTGTTCAAATCATTGCCACCGGGATTATGGTAAAATGCGGCGACTATGTTCCTCTCTCTCTCTCTCTCTATCGCCCACTCCTCTTCTCCCCCTCTCCATTCTCCCCCTACTCTCTCTCCCCTCCTGCCCCACATATCTCTCCCTCCTCTCTCACAACCTTCTTTCTTCCCTCTCGCCCACTCTTTCTCTCTCTCAATCCTCTCGCTCCCTCCATTCTCTCGCCCAACCTCTCTCTCTCTCTCTCTCTCTCTCTCTCTCTCTCTCTCTCTCTCTCTCTCCAGTTGTTTAATTACAACTTTGATCACAACCAATGATTCTTCATAATTGTATTGATCTTTCTTATATAATTATAATTTACCAAAGGAATTAATCTACTTATTCATATCCACAAGATAAAACCATACAACTGTTTAACGTATATAAAACGTTTACGCAAAGAACACTGAACCACCGAGAGTACTTTCCGTCGCAAACTTTACAAGTTTATATATGTATGTCTGTTTGACACCGTTAATAGAAAGAAATATCTCTTAGAGTTTTCATTATAAAAGTATTTAGAAATAAAGATTTTGGTATCATCAAATAAATTCCTCTTCGGAATAATTCAAAAAAGGGTTTGTCCTGTCTCTTACCATTCTTTCTTGCCTGATGAGTCTTTCCACTTAATAAATTTAGTCTTTCTCATCTAAATAATACTCCATCACTTACATAAACCTTCCTTTAGACCTGCCACATTCATGAAACGTATTCTTAAATGTGATTTCTCAGAGCTGTTTTAATTTATATGTAGCAAAATTTAAGCAAATATATGCACCTGTATTTCAAAACAAAAAAAAGAATGACAGTTAAAACAAAAATATACATATAAATATTAAATATATAAAAATTGTCATAGCAACCAAACTCAATAAAATATTTTGTATGGGATGGTTCGACATGCTGAAACAAAAAATGTGTGGATGGGGGAGGGGGTTTACCAAACGGCATTTCGGAACATATTGGTGTTCTTAGAGCATTAAAAATGCACATAGTTCCTACTGTGAATTCTATCGAGCAGTGACAAGGTTTCGTGTGTTTTATAGGTTATTAAATGTTGTAGATTGTATTTCCAGTGGATTTCATAAAGAAAATTACACTGAGTGTAAATATTAAATATTTGTCAATATTGATTCTTCATTTCTTTCCTAAAAATATGGAACTCAGACACAAATCATGTGTATAGCTAACTTTTGTTACCATGGCAACCATGATGTTTATTTTAGACTAATATTGCTGATTTTTTTCCCATTTAGTTAAGGTCAAATATTTTTTATTGTTTTTACTGTTTCTCTGATCATACTTAGCCTATCATTATTGAAAATTGCGCTTTTTCAGGCTAAAAAAGATTAGCCAAAATATCTCTATGGTTAACTCCTATTTAGATTTTTATTCAAAATAATTTCTTAAAAGCACAGGTGGCAACAAGATGTAATGATGTGTTTACCTAGTCATTCTGCCCGCGTGGCGCAATGGTTAGAGCGTTCGCTCTAGAGTCGCGGCGTAAGGTATTGATCCTTACGTCGCGGGTTCGAATCCCACTGTGGGACGTGGAGACCTTCCGATGAGACCGTATAAACCGAGGTCCCGTGTCGCAGTAGGTGCTGGCACGAAAAAGATCTCTCACTGCCCAATGGCCGTAAGTGCCAAGTATAGGACAAAATTTGCAGCTCTCCACCGACAAATGGTGGCGTGTCCATGTATATGAGTGACAAATTCTCGAGAGGGACGTTAAACAACATCAAACAAACAAACAAACCTAGTCATTCTTAAGCCTCAATAAAAATTGTGAGCAGCTTCAATTTTTCTAATTTCACTTTTCAGGACACTTCTATGCAAACAAAATTCTGTTTCAATAATTATAAGCAAGTTTTCTGATTGGATCATTGGAGACAAAATGGTTTGGTTAAGTAGTTTCAGAGAATTGCCATTAAAATTTCAGTGTTTTGTATTTATTGTTGAGTATTTTTAAATACTTGCGTTTGACGATTTTTTTAAACTTATTTTATCAAAAGCGCAACATAAATAAAGACTTTTCTTGGTTTTTTCATGTACTGTAGTTTTATTTCCTATTATTTTTTTGTTATTCTTTTTTATTTTACCATTTGATTCTGTGTCTCTCATTCATGAATAGATAACATGATGACCACCATACATGTATGATTTTGTTTAAGTTTTTCACTGTTAATTCAGATCATCCTATACATAAATTGATAAAAAAAAACTTGGTATCGGAAGTAATTAGCTTCCAGGGGCGTAGCTAGAACTATGATGAAGTATAGGCACAAATTACCCTGTGTGCGGCGAGGGGTCTGGGGGCTGCCCAAGGCCCTCAGCGGGTCCAGGGCAGCGCCCTGGTAGGGGGTTCAGGGAGGGGGGTGGATTTCACGATTTTGAGACCCGTGGGTGACAAATTCTCGGCGTTTAAAATACAAAATTCTGGGTCTCTAAAATGAAATTTCATATTAAGTAGAAAAACTAAGAACGTGCAGTCCAACTTTTTAACCAGAAATCTTTTGTTAGAAGAGCTTTCATATTTTTTCGGCGTAATCAAATTTAGAACTTGAAGAAGATAGTTATTAAAAAAATAATCAGACACAAAGCAATTATTTTACAATAAATAATAAACAAATATATATTTTTTTTTTCAGAAAAAAGCTAGTCTACCCTCAAAGAAGTGGTAAATTTGGATGGACAGCCATAAAATAAAGTTAATTGCTGTTAATTCAAATTAATTAATTATTAATACCAAACATAACATATCTAGTGAGCGTCAGGGGAGTTTTATATCTATATTTATAATTACATGTACTTGCATATAGAAAGAATCTGGGGGGATAAGACGAGCCATGTGCCCATGCCCATTTTTCGGCTATGCAAGAACATTTATTGGAAAAAATCTCTCAATTGTTCGAATTTACTTAAGCATTTTAATGTTTACCGTAGTTTTCAAAATGATATTTATATTCTAAACAAGCTAAACAGTTGACTTTCATTTAATGTCACAAATGTCTAACATGGGTAAGGACTTCTATTAATTAATCTGCATATTGAGTGTTTACACTTATTGTGGAGATATTATAAAAATGTTAACATCGTATATAATAATAATGGTGATCTAGAAGCGCTTTTATTTAAAATAAATAAAACGGGAATAAAAGTATTCAAATATCTATTATAATTTTTATCCGGCATTTTAAATAATTTACTGTAAATAAGTTCATTACTACATGTATTTATTTTATTTCCAGTGAAAAATATGTTATTCCTATAGACATTTTTTATAAAGTAAAACAAAATTAAAACCAAAAAAATCAACACCAAAAAAAAAAAAAAAAAAAAAAAAAAAAAAAAAAAATCGGAGCATGACTCGAACACTTTCCTCAATAAACGTCCCTTTAAAGAGCTCATCGCTAACTACTAGACCACGGAGTCACACTAACATTTCCATTTAAATAGCATACAGTTCTCTATATTTAGCAAGCGTTTTTGGACTTAGATTTTTTTAAGACCACGGTGAAAATTTAAGTAAGTTAACTTAATTTTTTATGTAGAGTGGGTCTTCATACCAAATTTTTGCAAGTGTAAAAAGTAACATCTTTCCATTGCCTTTCATTAATCGTTCTCAAAAAAATGGTACGATGACCCACTCTATTTAAAAAATGTAATTATATCATCCAATTTATGTCAGTTTCTGTGAAAATTGAGCGTGATGCCATTTTGTTGTGTTAATCAGAATCATTTTCGCTGTTACAGTATTCAGGTTTTGTCAAATTTATATGCAAATGGTAATAAGCATTACATTAATTCAACAAAAAGTGAAATTTTTGTAAAATGAATTTATTGATTTTTTATCGATCGTTATGTAGGCATATGGCTCGGCTTATCCCCCCAGTTTCTTTTCAAGACATTTTATAAGAAGTCCTACAATGAAACAGTCGGTTAACTATTACAGGTTATTATACTTTGCACAGATCGGTGTTTATCTATACATTCATGATCCCTCTATATAGCAATGGCGAAAATGATATGTAGTCATTTATTTTCTCTCTTTTTTACGGTTTTGTTTCTAAGTTGTGTTTTTTTTTTTTTTGAAAAAAATTAAGTGTAGGCACGTGCCTTAAGTGCCTAATGGCTTCCATTATGAGTGAAAATTTTATGAAATGACTGGACTACCATAAAATTTAAGCTAGACGGGAAAACGTAAGCTGAAAATGGGTGGAAAACATAAAGGGGAAAAAGACAAATAAATGCAACAAATTGATAGTGATTATATTTAGTTTATTAAGAGATAATTAGCAATGAAATACAGACTTTTGAAAAGAGAGAACAACGGAGCTATTGGACACCTCTAAATGGATGTTTCATTTACAATTTAGATCTTTTGACATGGAACCCCCATCCCTGATCACTGACGGGATGGGTGTTCCAAGGAAATACCCATTCCTGATTACTGACGGAATGGGTATTTAAAGAACCGAAAGTTCCGAAAGATGTGAAAATTTTTGAAAAGCTGAATTTTGTCCGCCATGCTAGCGCTTCAGATCTGTCTCCGAGGCCAACATTTTGGAAATTCAAATTCCACCTCCACCCCTCCCAAAAAAAAAAAATGTATGAGCCTAAAAAAGAAAGAAAATCAATTAATAGCCAAAACAAAGATTTGCAGCAAAAGAGCTCGGGTGTTCCCTCTTTGGTTCCAATCGTTTTGAAAATTAAAAATTTCAAAATAAATTGTCCAGATCGTTAACAGTGAAATTATCAGGAGCTTAAAGTATTTTTATTCTGCAGTAAGGTTGACGTATTTTTCGAGCCTCTCCATCTCCTTGTGGGCGACATCGATCTCTTTCTGGATACGGGCTTCCTCTCTGTTCTGTTGAGCCCGCTCCTGTTTTTCGGCTTGTGCCTTCTCTTGAGACTCTGTAAAATATAAACAGGGAAATGTTTATTGATTTTTGAAAGACACATGTATAATGGTAAGGACTGCTGGCAAATTTAACCAACATGAACAATGGGGCCTTAACCTTACTAATCACTGGTATCCAGGAAGACAAGTTTGAAGGGGGGGATTATTTCTTGTTTCCTTGTATGATCATATTTAGGCAAACCAGTAGCATTACCTGCTTTAGTGTAATTTAAGCAAAAAAGCGTGTTTGAAAGCATAACATTAATGAATAGTATAAATATACCTCTCCATTTTTCAAAATCCTCCTTTTTATTTTCAAGCAATCTTGGTGGAGGCATCTTTGGAGTTTCCTCAGAGACAAATGTAAGATCAAAGGCCACACCACCTTTCCTTTCTGTCACTTCCTCTGTGACCATTGTTTTCCGTACTTTCTCGTACGCCTCCATCTCTTCTTTTGCGACACCCACTTTGTTTTTTCTAGCAAAACAGCTCTGAAGGAGACCCATCGTCTTTTCAGAGCAGAAATGGCTGTATCCAACAACAAAAGTCTTCCGCTGATAGACTGTTTGTGATGTCATAATATTGGTTGATTATGACGTCATAAATAATCAAAGTCCCGTGTTTTGATGTTTTGTCACCCTTGTTGTGGAATTTTTTTGAGATGACTAAATGTGTAATAATATAAATTTCTAAAAACAATAAAATAAAACCTCCTGACTTATGCATAAGTATTTTATCAAACGGGTAAGTAAACGGGAGTCTATGACCTTGACCTTTGGTTGACAGTTTTAAAGACAAGAAATTAAAAAAGAAAAAAGAAAAAAAAGAATTACCATCTCAAGAGTGAACTTTCAGAAGATTATTGTATTATTTCAAGATCGCGGAGTGAACTTTCAGAAGATTAATGACTGAAATATGAGTGACGGTTATGCATGGTACACCGCCTATAAGAGGTCAAGAGGTCTTTTTTAACAAATCAGTTAAACAATTAATATATTACAATCTTTATTTTGATGAGGTTTAACAAGAACACACATTCTGAAAACAACAAATACAATAACAACAACAGCAAAGCAAAAGGATTTTGTTACATGTATGTGTTATCAAAGCAAAAGGAGTCTATCACATGTATGTGTTCCCAAAGCAAAAGAAGTTTATTACATGTATGTGTTATCAAAGCAAAAGGAGTCTATCACATGTATGTGTTATCAAAGCAAAAGGAGTCTACCACATGTATGTGTTCCCAAAGCAAAAGGAGTCTATTACATGTATGTGTTCCCAAAGCAAAAGAAGTCTATTACATGTATGTGTTCCCAAAGCAAAAGGAGTCTATTACATGTATGTGTTCCCAAAGCAAAAGGAGTCTATTACATGTATGTGTTCCCGAGGCAAAAGGAGTCTATCACATGTATGTGTTCCCAAAGCAAAAGAAGTCTATTACATGTATGTGTTCCCAAAGCAAAAGAAGTCTATTACTTGTTCGTGTTCTTAAAGCAAAAGAGGTCTATTACTTGTTTGTGTTCTTAAAGCAAAAGGAGTCTTTACATGTACATGTATTTGTTCGCAAATCAAAAGGAGTCTATTACATGTATGTGTTCCCGAGGCAAAGGGTGTCTATTAAGTACAAATAATTATTCCGGACGTTTGTGTTCCCAAGCAAATTGTCTGGATTTATAAATGAAGCGTTCGGATTAAACATACTTTATATATACATGTATAACTATAAATTATTCCCCACAAATTTTATCCAGAAGGTGGAGCGTCAGGATCATTGGTGTCCAGATGAACGAGACTCCACTGTACATGTAGTCATGTACCCTAATTAATTGTAGCCGTTGTCTACATTTTGGAACCCCCCTCCCTGTCCCTTTTTCTAACTTTTCAAAATAGGTTTTACAGAAGAATAATTTCTTGTAGAACATTGATAATGAAAAAATACAAAGAAGATGGGCGTATTTGACGTGTGGTCTGCGGGAATAATGCGTACGAAACATTTATAGTTTAAATTTCTACGATTTGGTCGGCTGACCACAGCTGGACATACATTACAAAGTTATGCACATGGGAAAATGTTTCATTTAGTTTGAATATTTAATAAAAATGATAGAGAGATGACCTAGAGAGAGCAAATTTTTAGAAAAAAGTGTTTAAAAATGTAACATTTTGTCCCAAATGACTCATTTAGTTAATTTTCAAGTTCTTTTTAAGCAAATCAAAATACAATATCGGGAAAATATTTCCATTTCCTATTATTATTATTCCTATATTAGGAACCCGATACATCAAAAGAATGCTAAAATTTTATATGACAGATCAATGGAATTTTCACTTTTCAATTGCGCCCAGATTCCTACCGAATGCCAATCAAAATCGCCCTCGTTCTTTGCGGCAAATCTCTTAATCCCTTCAGCAAGAATGCTGAAGAAAATACCTTATAGATAGCGAAAGTGAATGATCCATCCTGACACTGATTTTAATTACCAAAGATTCTCCAAATTATTGTTAAAATCGTTATCTGCATGTCTACAATTTTCAATCTCTTATATGTTTATGGTTTCACATGAAGAACTTCTCACCACAAGGCACAGCCGCTCAACTATGACGTCATAGCGCCTCAATAGGGGCAAAAGGAAAAAAAAATAAATGTAATAAACAGAAAATTCCATATATCCAACTACAGAAGATTGAAAATCCTGCATATATCCATTCAGCTCGCTACCATGAAGAAAATATTGCTGGGGATAGATAAATGGGTATTTTAAAAGTCAAGTCAGGTCGGAGGGCGTAGCTACATGTTCGTGTATAGGTGTACGCAAGTGCTTCCACATCATTTTCAAAATAAAAGATCGAGGAAGAAGAAAATTTTAAATGAAAAAGAAAAAAAGACATACTTTTTTTAATAAACGATGAAAATGTTCTGATATCTTCAGCATTTGTATCAAGTATGATAAACATCTCGTTCTCAATTTATCCATAGCAGTACACAATTTTTTAACTACAATGTTCATAACTTGACAATGATAAAAATAGTTTTAAACACATAGTATATTAAATTAGTTCCTTCTCCAATACTTTGTAAGGTGGCATATTTCTGCCGCTACATCAAGTCTGCCAAAAGGGTGGGGTGTGCAACCCAATGCATCCCTTGCGAATAAAAAAAATCGAGAAAAATATCTTTCTGAAACAAAATAAATTTATCATTTTATATCTGTTTAATGTAATGCTGCTAGATTGAGTGAATTTTATTTAAAAATTGACTCCCATAATCCACCAGAACAAAATGGCATTCCCCCTTTTTTAAAAAAAAAATCTAGGTTTACCACTTGGAGTCCTTCCCCTGCAACCCCCTTTGCAGAAACCTGGTCACGGCATTATACGTGTAAGATCAAGTATATGAACATGCAAGAAATAAATATCAATGAAATCAACATTTAAACGTTAAAATTCAGACTAATAAATTTACTGTGCTTTTTGGCATTCAATTGTGTATATAGCTGAGCAGAACTGTTCAGACGCCCCTCACCACCACCCCCAACCCCCAACCCCCCCCCCCAACCCCCAAATAATTTTGCCGATACATAGAATACTATAGAAAACATAGCTACTTTTAGTATATGATTATGCCCCCTCAATAATAACGTCTAATGACCTTTCTTTTGCTTGTAAAGGAATTTTGGTAGTTGATAGCGCCCCCCCCCCCCTAAGTTTATTAGTATATAAGTTTTTAAAACTTTGTTTCCGAATCCTTTTTGATTTTCTGTACTACTTGCCTGTATTTTCTGCTTGTCATTTTCAAGTAAAATGTGGTTTAAAATAACTGAAAATGTATGGTTGTGCCCCCTCAAAGTGAAATTGCTTCCTACGGGCCTGCAGACAAAGTGTCTTCTACAGTGTACATGTGAAATATAAAACACAATGTAGAAGAAACGACAAATCTAATCGTGCTATCCATAAGAGATTTTGCATATTATAGTGAACATTCATAAATTGATTTCTTTCTTTTCTGGAGTTGAAACAAAAGTCTCAATAATTTCCGAATAGCTAGCCCTCGTAAATACTCCCCTGGACTGTCCTGTGTGTCACCCTTCACCTCTTCGATTAATTTTCTACGACCCCTCGCAAACAATATATCTCTATTTGACCAATTGAAAAATATCAAGTCTGCATCTTCTCAGAATCAGTTATTTTCTAAATTTGATGATAGAAATTTTAAACATAGCTCTTTTTTCAACTACAAAACGATACCATGCACACCGGAATATTTTAAACGTGTGGGTAATTATTAATTCCACAATTTCTTTTATTGTATTTCCAATACATCATTGATATTTCAGTGATCAAAAAATGCTGAATTTAATTAAAATTAATTAAATTATTTCAGATTAGATCGTTTATCTCGCACTTTGTTTGGATTCTGTCGCTCGTGAAACGAAAGTTCAAATTTTGATTAATATAGTCTATCGGACAGTGTAGAGAACTTCTACTGCCTCGTTAGTGCATGAGCTAGTTTTCCTCAGTTTCAAGTAACTTAAGCTGCGGCAAGCCTGTATATAGCTCTTTAATGGATGACCTCTTCACGTTACAAATTTGGCAGGAGCGGTGAGATTCTAGTGTTTGGTAACCTGCTTCAGAAAGCTCTAGGACAATGGGACTTTGTGTTCATTTTCGGACTTAGTATCCTTGGACGGCAGAATATACTGAAGAGGTCCCATCCATTCAGAGAGGACTCATGGTGAGGTTTGGGATAAAGAGAAATTATCTTTGCTGCCTCCCGAAGGAACTTGTGATCTAGCTTCTCTGGTGATACGGTTTTCAGATACAATAAGTTGCAGCGAGCATGTGTAGCCCTTTAATGGGTAACCGCTTTGCGTTACAGGGAGGATCCCGTTTTTTTTTTCGGGGGGGGGGGTCATATCACACTCCGAAATTTTCAGGGTGGGGGTTTCAAGGTCTTTTTGTCCTTGCTTTTACACAAAAAATAAGAAACTCTAAAAATTCCAGTGGAGTCCGGATCTACCCCCGATCCCCTTTAGATCCACCCCAGCGATACAATACACCGGCACTTGGGGGCTGGACCCCCCCCCCTTTCCATTTTTTGTTCTTTTTAAATCTGAAATCGACACACCCTTTCCGATAATGTAATCCTTTTGTCTCAATAAGGTGATTTTAAATATATCATATTTGACTGATACATCTTTTTATGTATCGGTCGAAAATGATATATTTAAAAACACCTTATTGAGACAAAAGAAATACATAATCGATAACATGTAGTGTATATTAGAGTACAAAAATAGGAAAAAGGTGTGTCGATCCCAAGATAAAAAAAAATGGAAGGGGGGGGGGGGGAGGAGGGTCCAGCCCCCAAGTGCCTGTGATACATTATTGCAAAATGTTTATAGAACTTACTATAGATAAATGTACATGTATATGTATGCGCAGTAATGCTGTGTCCGACATGAAGCGCACTTGATTAAACTGAATTGGGATCCCCTCCCAAGTGTAACAACATCCACCTATTACCGAACCGTAGGACCCCCCCCCCCCCCCAGCAATTTGCATGTAAATTTTCCCTGTCCAACGCTATTCAGGCCTGCTTTCAATCAGATGCTGACAAGGATTTTAAAAAAATCTTTTTTTCTTGCAGCAAAATATGTTGACGCTCACATCACTCGGTCTTTTCCGTCAAGTTGAGATTTTTTTCTCGTATGACGGAAAAGGCCGAGTGATGTTAGTATCATGACGTCATAATCATTTTTCTTACTGTGATGTCACAGACTCTATCAGGATTCGTTGATAGATACAGCGAATTGCCGCTCTGAAAAGATCATGGGTCTCCTTCAGAGCTGTTTTGCCAGAAATAACAAAGTGGGTGTCGCAAAAGAAGAGATGGAGGCGTACGAGAAAGTACGGAAAACAATGGTCACAGAGGAAGTGACAGAAAAGAAAGGTGGTGTGGCCTTTGATCTTACATTTGTCTCAGAGGAAACCCCAAAGATGCCTCCACCCAAATTGCTTGAAAACAAAAAGGAGGATTTTGAGAAATGGAAAGGTTGGTGAATACATCCACTAATTTTCGAAGCTTAAAATAAGTACTCTGAATAGGTCAGATATCTATTTCTCTTAAAATTTAATTTTTTTAAACATATTTACCGTGAAAATGCTCACACATCAAGGTATTGAATTTGTGCAGAAAATCTGGTGTTAGTGACACGTTACAAACAGTAAAGTTCAGAGGATCTTATGAAAATTATTATTTTCTTAAGCGGGGAAGAGGGGTGATCAAGGTCAATCATGCATGGTTGACGTTTGAGTCTCGTGGCATTTAATAAAATTTGAAAATGAATATTTCTAACGATTTTCAATATTGATTAGCATAAACCTTCTTCTATTTGACAGAGTCTCAAAAGAAGACCCAGGCCCAGAAACAGGAGCGGGCTCAACAGAACAGAGAGGAAGCCCGTATCCAGAAAGAGATCGATGTCGCCCACAAGGAGATGGAGAGGCTCGAGAAATACGTCAACCTTACTGCAGAATAAATCTAATCTGAAATCTTAACATTTTTTAAAGTTTTTGACCTGGATAAATGATTTTATAATTTGTAATTTTTACGCTGATTGGAACCAAAGAGGGGACACCCGAGCTTATTTTTTCAGTGTCGCAGTTTTTGGCTTTTAATTGATTCTCTTTCTTCTTTCGGATTATTTTTTTTTTTTATGGAATTTTCCAAGATGTGGGCCTCTGAGACAGATCTGAGGCTAGCATTGCGGACGGAATTTATCTTTATTCAAAAATTTTACACGTCTCACGGAACTTTCGGCCCTGAGAATACCCATTCCGTCAGTAATCAGGAATGGGTATTACCTTGGAACACCCATCCCGCCAGTGATCAGGGGTGGGGGTTCCTTGTCAAAAAAGATCTAAATTGTAAATGAAACATCCATTCAGAGGTGTCCAAACGCTCCGTTGTCCTCTCTTTTCAAAATTTATTTTTCAAATTTTTGATAATCTAAATATCTCAATAAAGTATGTGCAGACTCTTAAATTATCATCTTGTCTTTCTTTCTCCACCCCCCCCCCTTTCCATTTTTCCATAAAATTGTATTTATGTACATATTTGATTTCTTACACTGTAAAAAATGTGCTTAGGAAATAAACACTTCCATTACGTGTTTAGATCTAAACGTATTTGATATTGTGTTTAAAAACAAAACACTTATGTCTAAATGTATTTAAAATCTATACGCGTTTAGATATTGAACATGTTTTTTTGTTTTAAATTCGGTCAAGTGCAGAGTTATCTTCCCGGAAATGATACATATTTGAACGTTAATAAGCGCGGTTGTCGAAACAAAGAAAATCACAACAAAACAGTAAACGATGTTTTCAAGAAAGCTGATGAGAATTTGAGTGCCAACCACCGCAGAAATAGTGAAAAACATGTGAAAGGCTCATTGTAATTGCTATAGGGTATGTATGCTTTTGTTTTTATATAAAATAAACATGATGAGCAAAGTAAATATAACATTGCACTTTATATCAAGAATGTCTTTCGGTGTCATATCATGTATTCATTAATGAGAGTAAATATTGAATCTATAGTTGCAATAATATTTATTTAAACATTTTTTATATGCTTAGTAATTGATATAAAACTTCAGCATGTTCAGTGAGGAGCACATACTGTTACTTATGTAACGTACGTCCTTTCTTACAGGTTAACTTAATTGGATAGCCGAGAGAAAGAACAAAATTCATTTCTGATAATATATGGATGTGAATTATACTGCCGTAGAAAATACCTTCAAGATTATCCAGATAACCTGCTGCTTTGTTTACATCACGACGGATTTGAAATAGTGATCCATATTGCATCACACTGCAAGAAGCACACCATAGCTGGAGTCTTTTACATATATGTGCTACTGGTACAAAATGCAGACAATTCAACAACTTGGATGTTACTAACTCTTCAGATGCCAGACAGTTTTATATGTCAAAACATCTAAAAGACTTTGTGACAAACAATGGAAACCATTCACAAGTAAAAGGAATTCCACCGGACAATGATTCCGTGACTGCGTGAGAACACTTTACAGTTTACTGTGTGTTAGGCCTTTTTTATCATTTTAATATGATGTTTAGAAGTAAATAAAACTTGAAACGGACACACCTGTTACATTTTTGGTTTTCTTGCAGATCCTTGTTTAAAACATTGAAGTGTTTAGCTTCTAAACGCGAATCTAAGTGTTTAGAATTGCGTTTAAACTCTAAACATGTATGTATTTAGGTTTAAAACACTTTCCATTACGCGTACTGAAATTCAACATGTTTAATATTTAAACGCATTAAAAAAAGTGTGACAAGAATGTGCTTAGAAATGTGTCTATCATCTAAACACATTTTTTACAGTGTAGGATTGTCAGATTGAAGGGGGAAATGAATATCGTTTAATTTAATTAAGCCATGCAGAGAACTGGGAAAACAAAAAAATCTACAAAAGCATTTTTAGCTACATTAATTTCTTAATCTTATTAACTTAAGGTCAGTAGATGAGAATTAGAGTCAACCATAACCATGTGACTTCTTTGGATTGCACGTTTCTGTGGGTGTCATTAGATCTGTCCAGTTTCCAAAATCCAAACTTTTTAATCAATATTCGTAAATGTACAGTTCTTGAATAATGATTTAAATTGATTCAAAAGAAAGAATATCAAGACTTTTTTTCAAAAGGAGGCTTCGGGCATAAAAAGAGGGGGTTAACTGGCATGAGAAGGTGTCTCCCAATATAATATTTAACAATATTTGTGAATATTATGCACAAATTTCTTCGCTTGTCAATACAACCCCCTCCTTCCCCTCCCAGTTTATTTAAAAAATACAATGCTGCATGTCTGCTTTATTCCCTACTCTTCATATAAACAATGTAAGAATGGAATCAATGAAAATGGTTCATCTTTTTAAACTTGACAACATGTGCAATAAGGGGATGGCCATTTGATTCTGAGGGGGGCTGACAGATTTTGGAAATAAATTAAATAATCTGTCCTCAAAAGTGTTGAAAATAAATAATCTGTCCTCGACTGGCGAGAAATTAAATAGCCTGTCCTTGATTGGTGCTACTACCCCCCCCCCCTTCCCGAAGTAGAGTTTTGGAGTTTGGCCGTTCTACTTTTTTTTTTTTTTTTTTTTATCGTCCCCTAACCATGCTAACTTCGTAGTAATACATACTACACAAAATCCTTTAACATGTCATAAATTCAAAATATTTTTTCTTCAATATTTAGACATTTAGTTTATCCTTCTTCCTAGTATGCTTGCACTTTTCCTGGCAATTAGTAAAATCGCTTAACAACCTCGATTTCACGACGAAGTTTTTGTTTAGCCTTCTATTCAGTTCTAAGTTACTTCTTAGAGGTTTGTATACATTAGTCAGTTAGGTATTAACATTCGATTTAGTAATATTTCATTATTAAAATCAACGACCAAGAAACAGGCCTTTTAATAAACCCCTATATTAATCTTGTTTTTTTTTTTAATATGCCCGAATTTCCTCGCAATCAGACTTCGTACGCATTTTCATGATTTTGTCAAAACGAGAATTTAAATAGGCGGATAATAGATTATTGTAGTTTTAGTTTAGTTTTAAAATATCATTTTTTGCAAATTTTATTGAATCTTCTTTAAATTGTATGATTCGGATATTATTTAGCTTATGTCATCATATCACATATGCCCATTTGTCTGTTTGATTCAGGTCCAGTACAATCACTACATTTAGCTACGTAACTTGAATTACCGGACCTGTTGGTAGATATACGTGTACTACCTAACGTAAAAATCATGTCCAGAGGCAGAGCTTTGCGAAAGTATTAAGAATGACAGGATTCTAACATTTGTTTTTCGAGAAATTGGGTATATTGTAGTTGGAATAATCTAACTGTGTCTCGGGACAGGCCCTCACCACAGTTAGAATACGTCCCATATACTTGCAATGTAGCAAATCGGAGTGGATCCACTCCGAAATGATTTTGAAGAATACAAAAGGAGTTGCACTGAAAATAACTACCAAATTAATCATAACAAACCTTTTTGAGATGCCTTTTAACCTAAAAAATAATCAATATAAATACGAAAATTCAACTCATTTTCTCAACGTTTTTTCCTCTCTTCAAATTTAACACCATGTTGACATTTGGAACTCTCTGAATTGTTCATAGAAATTGCAAAGAGTTCGAGTTATCGCCCGTGTTTATTTTGCAACATTGCCAATACACGGAACGAATTCTATCGTTAAACCGGGTCAGTAGGACATTTATCATTTTAACGATAGAACATTCTGTCTAGGTATATTGAAACAATATTTGCATCACCAAAATCAGTATTGATCAGAAAGAGACTTGTTCTTTCACATTTTGCTGCTTATCTTTACAATCTAAACCTTCTCAAATGCTGTCAACATTGTATTGACTAAACTGACATTGAGATTGACACTGAATTATTTCATAAGTTATGCTTTAAAATTTTTTAAAAATCCATCCCAATAAACAAAAAGAACAGATTACATTTAATTATCAGAATACAGACCTTTTACTGGGAATGAACATAGTTTGAAAAACTTGTAGTGTTGTGCATGATGTTTTGGGCAAATAAACGTGCTTGGTGCAGAAGGAGTTGCCTTTCTCATTAGACTACATATAGTATATATATATGTCCCTGGAAGTATTGATTGATAAGCTTTCAGTTAACTTCAGAAAAATTAATTTCAGGTAGAGCAGAGTCAGCAACAAAGAGAAGATCTTCAGTCTAGCCATAATGGCTACCAGGGTATTTATATAATTCTGAAAATTTGTTGTAGAGTTGTGTCAGCATGTGTATAATGATTAAGATTTATACATTAAACAGGGTTGCAATTAACTTAAAACTTTAGGGGCTACTAGGGTCATCGACTTTACAAGTTTTACTAGCTCACATTAACATTTTGGGGCCCACAATTTTAAGTTAATCCACTTAGTAAAAAAGAATTCTTGATCTTTTCATATCTCTGAGAATTGTGCTTTTCTGTCCACATTCATTCATTTTTCTGCAGATTTTGACACCATTTGTTTGAAATTCTGTGTTCTCCTTCACTTTGAATACAGGTCTAGAAAATGTTTTGAAGGTAGGGAACAATGAAAATAAAAATGCATAGAAGATAGAAGAATCAAACCATGCTAGGGTTATGGAAAGGTTCCGATGAAACTCTTACCCACCTTGTGGGCAATAACGTCCGCAATACATGTAGTTGGTTGCCCATGGACAAAATTACTTGCAGTTGCAAGTGGGAAAGTGGTTATTTGTAACCCTGATTAATCCTTGAAAGAATGTCCTATCATTTATTGGTGAAAATTTCTCTGTTATCCGTTATCTAATATTAAAATGACCATTTCAGTTTACACTTTAATGACTCTTTCCATGTATTTTATAACTTTCTGTAAATCAAACATTCTTCTACTATAAATGCTGAGGAGAACGATAATTCAGTATGTCCAGATACTTTTGCAGTCTATGCATGTTATTAGTTATCCAGGTCCAATCAAGGGTGTACGGGGATTCACCCCGGGTTTTATTCCATACACCCTGAGGCCGAAGGGTGTATGGAATATAACCCGGGGTAAATCCCCGAACACCCTTGATTGGACCTGGATAACGAAAATCGTTTCCTATGTGCATGATGTGTTAAAAATAATTCTTTCTAAACAAGTCTAATCAACTGTTTCGAGCTATCAATAAGATTTACTACGTCCTACAATGCATCATGACGTCATGTTAATTGCTTTTTATCATAGAGAAACTATGCATTGTGATGTCACGTTTTTTACCCCCAGCTCAAGTCGGGTGTATGGAAATTTACACATGACTTTGTAACCAATCAAAGCTCGTGTTACAAGCTACAAAGGAAATAAACTTTTTTTATCTTCATACATAGAAATCTCAGTATTCTCAGCACTGCCTGAAATAAATCTCTTGTATTTACAGTTGTTCACTTCACATGGCAGAGTGACAGCCTACCTTCCTAACTTCAGAGCTGCTGTCCAACATTTCCGAAACTTTTCTTCATATGACAAATTACCAAACATTGAAATTGAAGATATTGAACCAGGTAATCGTCATTATGATATTATCAAAATTATGAAAATTATAAGTAAAAAAAAGCAATATAATAATAATGTAAATCTAGTTCCTTTGCTTTTACTTTTGATATGAGGGCAAGATTTATGATCTTGATGATATATATGTAACATCTCAAAAGGATCATACTTAGTTTTCAAAACATTTTCCAATGCTTACATCCTTTATATTTTTTTAAATGTAGAAAAACACACAAAGAATCTAGGAGTGTTTGGTCCTGGAGATAAAAGATTCCCCCTGCCAGGGAAGATTGGGGTAAATGTTAGTAAGGCCAAAGTCCGCCCCTCCCCTCTCAGCCCCAGCAGTTGTCCACAGGAACTCTTAAAAAATCACCTCCCTGAGGAGAGACATTCTGAAGTTATTGAACAGATAATCAGCCAAATGGAGGAGGTGAGTACACTTGTACTTAGGGGAGAAATTAGAAGTCAATTACATTTATAAAACAGATTTTCTTAAATCATAAACCTTATACAGTTGAACTTCAGTATCTCAAAAACCAATATCTCAAATATCATGGATATGTCAAAATAATTTTGAAGCCCCAGTCACTTCTTATTTATGTTATTTACCCTCAATATCTCGAATCCTGGGATATACTCAGTCCCATTGAGTTTGAGATAATGAGGTTTGATTGTACATCATGCACATCACATATTTGTTGTATTGATTGTTGCAGTTTCAGTTGCTCCTATTAAGCTTTGAAAACTTACCTTTCTTACACATCAAATTACCCTCCAAAATAAAAATGACAATGGAGGAATAATTAATCGTTTGTTGTAGTATGATGAGGAATTTCTGAGTGAATCTGATAATAGCCCTATGGAGATGCTGGAATGTGTCGCTCAGCCTTGTCCTCAGATCCTCAGGCGGGGTAAGTAAACTTATGTGTCGCTCAGCCATGTCCTCAGATCCTCAGGTGGGGTAAGTAAACGTGTCGCTCAGCCTTGTCCTCAGATCCTCAGGCAGGGTAAGTAAACTTACGTGTCGCTCAGCCGTGTCCTCAGATCCTCAGGTGGGGTAAGTAAACTTACGTGTCGCTCGGCCATGTCCACAGATCCTCAGGCGGGGTAAGTAAACTTATGTGTCGCTCAGCTGAGTCCTCTGATCCTCAGGCGGGGTAAGTAAACTTTACTTACATACATTGTACAAGTACACATATTATACATTAAGATAATACTTCAGCCATCAGGAGGTTACATATTTCCTGTGATGGAGCCTTTTTGATGGGATGTGTAAATTGATTTTAATAAATTAGAACCATTTTTTTTATTTTAGGAATAAGATTAGTGTATACAAGAGTTAATGTTTTGCTCATGTTCCCTATAAGTTTACTTCTTGTGCTAGGGTTTTGAAACATACATATACATGTACCAAACTAAAATTTATACTGTGTAGTATGTATAGAGTGTTTAATACCAGTACCAATTTACTTTGTTGGTGATTTGAACACAGATACTATACTATACAACTTAAACATGTAAAATATTGTAAAAAATACTATATCATATGTAAAATTTATTTTGAATATTCAATATCATTCATATTACCTGTTTATAGAAGAATGTTTTAACTTGATATTGGACTCGTATGATTTACACAGATATACAGGAGCTATTCCCAAGCCGAAACCTTTCCAAAGACACCCTTACAGTGATTACGATTAGCCACAGGACGTCACATGACATGAGTGGGTGGAGCGAGGAGGTGGAGGAGGAGAGAGAATTGTTGTTAGCTGCCGTAAGTCACAGACAGACAATCTTTGTTAGCAAGAGGTGTTTCTGATCCACTCTATTCTCACAATGCTTTGGCCTATAGTGTTGTCAAAAGTTTTTTTTTCTCGAGCTGTGATTGGAGTTTATTGATATATTATTTGACCAATGATCATCGAGAGAATTTCAAAGCTAGTCAGTTACAATGGCTCCACTCAGTTGATTTTCTTGACTCTATAGTCTAGGGAATGAAACAAACACAATGATTCATAAAATAACATGTCACTCTATAGATAGTGGTGACATCATCCAACTTCATGATGTTATTCACAGTGATGATTCTGATATTTAGCAGAATTCCACTAATTCGAATCCAAGAATCAGATATTTACGAGTGTTTTCTGATATTTCGGTACTTTCTATTTTTGCAGCAATCCGTTTTTGTTTTCGGGGGGGGGGGGGGGGGGGGGGTAAAAAATTCAAGTTGTTTAGTCCATGTTTTTTTCTAGTCTGCATCGTCGATGTTTGCTTCTATCTCCAAGTAAGGTAAACACAAACATAGAGATGATTGAGGCTTCCTTACAATTGCGTGGCGGTCCATTCAGCAAGGGCAGGATGTAAAAGTTGTTTAACTGTCACACTTCAATTTTTGTCACTCATTTAAACTATTTTGGGCTTGCTGAAGCCCATATTTCTTCTGCCCCTCAATCCCCAACCTATTTCAGATATTTTGGCCAATCCACAGAATCATCACTGTATTCGAATCGGATATTGCAGATAAAGACTTGGATCCTAATTTACAAATAAACATCACTGTATACCTGCTAGTTGAGTGTTCTTATAATAGTTCAAATTTTGAAAGTGCTCTTCAGTTTTGTTAAAGATGAAAGCTGTGTGTATGTGGTAAGATTTGAGATCATATGACCTACTGACCTACACAATCGTGACTTTTGATAGCACGGTAGGCCAAGGTTTGTAAGGAATAGATTGATCAGAAACACTTTTTTAGTGGAGATGCTGACATACTAATTAAGTCTTGTTATAATAATTGTTACCTATGATAATTCATTGACAAACAAGTTTTTTTTTAAGAATTATTTATAGAAATCTTCTTCAAAGTTAAACATTAATTTTTTCTTATGCATACAGTTATTATGACATAAACATTTTGCTTCTTTCATAGTAATTTGAAGGCTGTCTTAAGTGTCTTAAATGTAAATCACTGAAAGACATGCATACTTAGTCATTTAAATTACATGTACTTCTTTGCAGACAAAAAGTATGTCACATAGCCAGTATAACTTTACTATGACAAGAGTTCAGAATTTGTTTACTTATTTCAGTTCATAAAAGGAGCTAGTGACATTTGTGAGGCATTAACGAATTGTGGATTCTGGGCAGATTTTATTGATCCTTCTTGTGGGAAGCCAGTAAGTGTGTCATACTTTTTGGAGCTGTTTTGAAGTCGGCTGCAAGGGCTCTTGTGAATTTAATTTGATCATAACCTTATAAACTTTCTTACAGGATAATCTTTCTGTTAATGTAGGTGCATAAGTATTGCAGTTAATTGAAAGTATTTATTAAACTATTTTTCACTATATAAATGTTCCTTACTTGGTTTATGTATTTTATCCATGCCCAGAAGTTTTTAACTTATTAATATGTTTTGCAGTATCTAAGTGACCATACAAACTCCACATTCTTTGAAACGGATGAAAGGTACAGAAAGTTGGGCTTTGAGATAGAAGACCTCGGGTGCTGTAAGGTTATTGCTCATCATCTGTGGGGGACACATGCCTACGTGGGTAGTCTGTTTACGACTGCACCCACAGATCACCCTCTCATTGCATGCATGATACAGATTAAAGCCCAGTCAGTCAAATCAAAAAAGGGAGGTAATTCAACATGTAAGGAAGACAACCAATCTCAGCACTGTCAAACAGTGGAGCAGGAGAACTAGTGACCTTTGAACTTATTATTAATTGTATTGTTGTGTTAATTACTCCAGGGAAAAGGAATGTGAATGCTAAGCCACATTATTGCTTTCTGTTTTAAAAGAAGTGCTTGCTTCAGCATTTTTTCCCTTTATTAAAAACAAATAAAACATCTGGGGGGGTTTTCTTCATTTTTGTCAGTATCTACCATTGAAATCGTTTGTATTATTTGAAAAGATAGAATAAATCTAATGAATGAATAGATTTTGTAGCATAATCGTTCCAACATGGCTATATAAAAGATTGGAGGTAAAAAAAAAAAGACTGAAGACCTTGACAATCCTTAAACAAAAAAAATTTATTTCAAAATTTATTTAAATTAATATTTGAAATTTATATATGATTCCTAACTGATGGATCGTGCAGGGTTGGGAATTTGTTACAACCATGCAAGGTTACAGTTTTTGAAAGTCAAACTTTGAGGCCCAGGTCAGGAGGTCAAAAATTGTAATACTATTGGAGAGGTATTGGCACATTTGGAAAAAAATATGAAATCCTTGTCTCCTCTGCTGCAAAAGTTATGGCCAGCGTTAAAATTTTTGGAAAGCAAGTCCAACGTCAACATCACAAGGAAAAAACAATCTACGTTTGGAAAGGTCAGAGGCAATGCACAAGTGAAATATGAATAATGAAAGCCCTGTCTGCTATGGCCAAGGGAAAAAAAGGTTAAAAAGCAGGTCAAACTTCAAGGTCAACAGATCAAAAATTAATATTTACATTTGCTGTGTTTTTCTACTAAGCCAACTGTGAAATTGATTTCAAAGTCATATTTAGGTATACTCACGCGTAGAAATATACACGGTGAAACTCGCGCTAAAGTGACGTCACATTGAGGCTACAGAGACATTAATAAAAATGAAATGATATAGGGCAGCAAGAAATTTAAATATTGAGTATATCATTGGTTCTTTTTAACTTGTAAAATATAAATATAAGGAATGTTTTTTAATTTAGAGTGAATTATTGGTGTGTAAATCACACAGACTTGCACGTAGGCATATTTTTCATGAAGCTAGCGCGCTTTATGAAATATGCCCACGTGACAAGTCTGTGTGATTTACACACCAATAACTCACACAAACATTCCTTAAATACAAACTGAAACGTCTTATCATCATTATGTACATTTTTAATGTAGAAGCCCTATCTTCTCTCATTCAAAAGCTACTTTAGAAATTGAAAGTAGGTCAAACTTCAAGGTCAAAAGGTAAAAAAAATCATAGTACATGTGAAATATGACAGTCTTATCTTCTCTCATTAAAGCTTAGCCAAAGTTCAAGTTTTTGTGACAGACAAGTAAGATTTGATATCCTGTGAAAAGAGAGGGATAAAAAATCTATCGTAATTGGTACATGTGTATGAACATGCAATTGTTATATTTTTCAAAGATGCCTTGTTTAAATGGAAAAAACTGTAAGTTGTTGATTTGTATCCATTTGGAAAAAACAAGGATTGATAAGTTTGTATTATAATAGATGTTACAGTCACACATACAAGCATTAATGTACCAAAAGCATTCTAATCAGTAATTTAACAACCTTTACTCATATTAATATATAAGACATACAGTGTATTCTTAAGTACATGCGTATAAACTTTTATTACTTTTGAATTAACTTTTAATAAAGTCTTATCTGATTTTTATTTTTTTTTTAATTTCTCCACTAATTTTTTTTCTTCTTTGCATGAATCAGATGTGAAATCACCGACAATAATTATCCTGAACAAAATTATCAAATTCTAAGCTTTCTTGAAATCAAAACACTTTCAGTATTTTGAAATGATTCTCAATACTTCCAGGCTCATCAAAGAAATGTCTGCCTTCTGTAATGTTCCCATTTAAATGTTTTAATTTCTCCACAAACTTTTTTTCCTCTTTGCCGATCCATTTCCTAAGTGAATCACGGATTTGATAAGGTGTTACATGTGCGTATATATTGAGACCTTTGTCTACCATTGCTGATAAAATTGTGTCATCTGTTAACCATGCGTCTCTATCACCCACGTGACCACTATCCAACCAGTAAACAGAGGATAACCTGTCTACAAAACCCTTCACGTTGACGTCTTCAATTTTTGTACCAGAAAACATTTCGAACATTATTTGATTCAACACCACACAACCTTTGCTGAATCCAATCAATGCGATTGGGGGAAAGTTGCTAGGGAGGGAATTATCCCGCGTCATTTGACGCATTGCGTTATTATAAAGACGAACAAGATGCGTCAAACCTTCGACTCCACTTTTATTTTCTGGATGATTACCTATAAAGGGAATTCCATCGTCGGTGAAACTTAAAAAATTCTTGTAAATGCTAAATGTGTAAAAGATCATTTTGGATGGTTTGACTATGAAAATGACACTATCAGGAAATCGACGCGCGAGAATCCGGGCTGTATTCTCCAAGTTGTATTCCAAGTACTCCTGATTTCTGCTGGACGCCATGTTTTCTGGGTATGTCTAAAAATAAAATATTATCTACATGAATATATTATATTTATAGAATTAATAAATAGTCTTTAATATCTCTACCGAAGTCTCAGTAATTTAATTCATGTCCTACATTATAACAGCCAATGATGGAAATAAAATTCGTGGACATGAACTATTACTATAGTTAATTCATTTTAAATATAACGTAAAAATATACAAGTTAGAAATTTGGTCTGTTCTCGATAACTCTACTTACAGACTAACCATCCCACTTCTTTATTTATGGGTTGATGTTTTTTTTTTTTTTGGGGGGGGGGGGGTAATTAAATCTTTAATCAAAAGGAATGAACTATCATTTAAATACACAATACAAATACATAAACTATCAAATTAAACAAACAATATGTTTTGCAAAATTATGTACAATAATTTTAAGAAAAATTGTGTTATCTTTACCCAATTGCTCAGTATGACAAGTTTAAATTGGTTGAATAATGAAGGAATTCAGGCTTCTATACCTCCAATATGCATATGGCGACCAATGGAAAATAACTCTTGCTAAAATCGTGTCTATCAAAAACTATATTAGATTTTTTTAAAGGAGAGAAAGCTTCTCTCTTTTTATGTATCAGTCGAAAACGATATATTTATAAAAACAGCTTATAGAGACAAAAGGGTTACATTATCGATAACATATAGTGCATATTAGAATACAAAAATAGGAAAAAGGTGACTTGATCCCAGGTTTAAAAAGAAAAAAAATTGGAAAGGGGGGTCCATTCCCCAAGTGCCTGTGGGAGGAGGGTGCATGTCACACTCAATGCATGCAGAAAGGAAACTTGTCCGAGAACTGTACTTAATAGATTTCATGCAGTAACTTATAAAATCTGGAAATCTGTATCCCATGCTTAAGTAACGAAAGTAAAATCTCATGTAAATTTAATTTTTTTTTTCTAAATTATGGACGAAAGGTTAGAGTTGGCTAAAATCAGGATCGATTTTTACATAATGTATGTATACAGGAAAAGAATTTAAATCTCGATAACTGCAAGGCCATGTAAGTCATATTGATACTGAGACCCCTGAGAGTTAAGGTAGGGTCGTAATTTTTCAAGGAATATAAATTTCCTTAAAATTTTCTGAAGACTACAGGGCTAAAGTAACTCAAGTGTGCGTTGTGGCCCATGGGCCTCTTGTTTACCACTGCAATACCCCTCTTATCGCCTGGACACTGCTCCCATGAATTTCACATTGTTTCCATATCTGAACGCCAAACTGTGTAGACAGTGATTTTTACAAACTTCTTACCTCGTTCTAAAGATTTCTCAAGGAGAAAGTGAATTACATAAAAATATGCAACATCATGATCGCATTGATATTTTCGCTAATAACAGGAATAACAGGAACCCTCATATTAAACAAAGTTATTGTTATTCGTCTTGTATTGTGCACGCAGTTACATTTGCCGGGTGTCTCATATGGAATCAAATAAGATCGACCAAAGCCGAAAACAAAAAAAAAATTATTCTCCATAATTACAAGGCCAAGTTAGTCATATTGAGCATCTCTATGTTCTGTGTTCAGAGACCCCTTGGAGTTTCAGTTTGGGCCATGACATGGGATCAAATTTTTTTCCTAGGAATATAAAGGAGAAAAATCTTACGATAAAATTGGAAGGAACAACAGGACTCGAGTTTCTCAGGTGAGAGTTGTGGCCATGGGCCTCTTGAAATCATAAAATATTGTATATGATGAGGCAAGTATGATTTTTAATGTTAAATGAAACGTTCATTCTACTTTATTAATTTTTCACTTAATTCTTGGGGGTGGGGTGGGGGTGTCATACCGAACACATTTTATATGCTTGCAAGAAGAAAAAATTATAAAAGCTAGAGAAGAACAATTTAATATGAAAGAAAACTTTAAAAATCCCTATTTCAAGTTGTGTATATATATATATATATATATATATATATATATATATATATATATATATATATATATATATATATATATATATATATATATATATATATATATATATATAGGGGTATGGGGGTCCCATCCACAAGCAGCTGTGAGGAGGCCTCGGTCACAAAAAAATGTAATAATGATCTAATCAGTGTAAAACAACGTTGGCATATTAACATTCTGGACAATAGAATGCATATCATGTATTTATATTTAGAGGGGGTAGGATTTTTCATTCTATAGTAGGAAATTTTTCCGGAGGGAGGTTCCACCCCAGTCAAAAAGTTTTCAATCCAGAAATTTCTTGACAAGAAAAAAAAAAGGTAAGGACCATTCCCAATCATGAAAAAACTATTTCGTGGTGGTGGTGGTTCACATTTTTTTTTGGGGGGGGGGGTCCAAATCATTTTTTATTTGCTTTAGTATATACATTTAATAACTCTACAAATCCAGGAGGGAGGCAGACCCCCCCCCCGACACCCCCCTTCTCTAGATCCGCGCATGGGGGTTTGCTACTTGATGATTAAAATTAAGATGCCTGTGGTTTCAGTTCCAATCTAACTCTAAATGAGTATATATTTTATACATTATAATAAAGTTTAGGAGATAGTGGTGTCATTTGTTTTGAGGAAGGACAGTAACTCAAAACCCATATTTTCTGAGCGAACATGTTTTATTCCAGATGAAATGTAAACATGCAGGTAAACTTTGTTTTAAATTTTTTTAGATATAATTTTAAATTCAAAATAAGGGTGTTGAAAGAGTGACGTTTAAACTAATTCTGTTTCATTCAATTTCATGCTATAAATAAAATATGTTGCTAATGCTCAGATTTAAATTGCGTAATAATATGGGTTTTTCAAAAATTTCTTGGGGGAGGTACCACTACCGTTGACAGCGAGGAGTTGACGCCCCCTCCCGCACCTTCTCCGAATTCCGTGTTAGCGCATCAGCAAAACCTCCCATTGGTTTCACATCTTGTGTCGGTTTCGCTCCCCCCCCCCCTCGTTTTGGTTTGATTTTTGCTAATTTTGTTGGTAAGAATTGTCGAGGAAATTCGAGCCATGGCTTACCTGCACATCTCCTCCAAAAAATATAACATGTTGTTTCTCTTGGCCTGTGATCTCTAATGACGGACATACGATAACATCATTATGTTTCCCCTCCAGTCCAGGCACATCAATCAGTCTACGTACATCCACCTTTCCTCTTTGCGGACTCGAGTCTACTTGATTAGTTGCCATCTGACGGTATACATTTTTGTGTTGTACTGTAGGAAGTGAACAAGCTAAAGACCGCTCTATACCCATGAAAAAGTCACCGGTCTATACCCAGGAAAAAGTCATTTTAAGCAGATTAATAATTAGTTTTCAGTAGTGAGAGGCCAGAATTCATTTCTTTTTTTAGTTCCTTGTTCAGACAAATAACTTTTTTTTAACAATTACTTTCAATTTTAATTTCATAAAAGCAAGACATGGGGAATAGCAAAGGTTAATATAAAATCCTTTGGAAAGAACGATAAGCTTTAATGGTTGTTCTTCCATCAGCGAATTTAACTCTGAACCCATCGTGGGATTTAAAGTGTCCCTTATATTCAACTTTTTCTTTTAAACTTGTCCGACCCCCCCCCCCCCCCAATTAAACACACACACACCTACACACACACAATATTCGGCCACGCGTACGCCATTAAAGCAAAGATCGAGGTGGCTAATCTTAATTGTACCACAGTTATAGGTTTCTTTTGTTAAAAGTGTGGCTGGCTTATCTGTATACGTACCTTTACAATGTCCAGGTTTTATAATTAACTCCACACAAAACTTGATATCGTGAAAATGGTAAAACAGTTAAATGAAGAAAACACAACACATTTACAGTATCTGCACATACCGGCACTTTGTACTTTATTAAATATTAAACTAATTAACATTTTAAAACTTTTGAAAAGAGAGGACAACGGAGCTTTCGGACATCTCTAAATGGATGTTTCATTTACAATTTAGAATATTTGAATACGAACCCCCATCCCTGATTACTGACGGGATGGGTGTTCAAAGAAATACCCATTCCTGATTACTGACGGAATGGGTATTTAAAGGTCCGAAAGTTCCGAAAGACATGAATGTTTTTGAATAGTTAAATTTTGTCAGCAATGCTCGCCTCAGATCTGTCTCCGAGGCCCACATCCTGGAAAATTTCTCCACCCCCTCCCACCCCTATCGACGAAAGAAGAAAAATTATAAATTAAAAGCCAAACAACTATTTACAGGAAAGGAGCTCGGGTGTCCCCTCTTTGGTTCCAATTTTTTTAATTTACACATTCCAAAAATAAATTTTTCCAGATCGTAAGCATTAAGAATCAAGAGTTCAGTTCAAATTTATTTGGCAGTAAGGTTGACGTATTTCTCGAGCCTCTCCATCTCCTTGTGGGCGACATCGATCTCTTTCTGGATACGGGCTTCCTCTCTGTTCTGTTGAGCCCGCTCCTGTTTTTCGGCTTGTGCCTTCTCTTGAGACTCTGTGAAATTTAAATAAACGGTAATAATTAAGTTGTCATAAAAATCATCCAGTACGAAAATCAGAATCCCTACGTACGTTACTTAATATCACCAGTTTAATTATTATTGTTTATTTAAAATATCCTTTTATTTCCTTGCAAGATTTATATACGATAATAAATACGCTTTACACAAAAATATCAAACTAAAGATCTGAAGCCTAAACTTGTCTATTTTGTCTAATTTGCATTGCTTAAAGAATAGTATCGACTTACCTTTCCATTTCTCAAAATTCTCTTCCTTTTTGTTTTCAAGCAATCTTGGAGGAGGCATCTTTGGGGTTTCCTCAGAGACGAAGGTAAGATCAAAGGCCACCCCACCTTTCTTTTCCGTCACTTCCTCTGTAACCATTGTTTTCCGTACTTTCTCGTACGCTTCCATCTCTTCCGTCATCACGCCCACTTTGTTTTTTTTAGCAAAACAGCTTTGGAGAAGACCCATGATCTTTTGCGAACGTGAAAGACTGCATCCAACAACAAAACTTTTGCTGATCGACTGTGACGTCACAATTGATTATGATGTCATAAGGAATCAAAGACTGCGTGTAATTGGTAAAAATGGTTTTCCGGGTTTCAAAGGAACGAGGAAATTAAAAAAAATATATACGTATTTCAAATGGTAATCCAATGACAAAATAGATAAAGAAACTGTCATTGAAGAAATCAGATACCATTTTTAGAGTTTCACTTGGATATGACATGACCGTGATCAAATCCTGCCCGATATCCTAGTGAAAATAAAAAAAATTCTTATACTTATATTTCTATTTTGATTTGTGATACAAAGAAAAACATAGGTAATCAGAGATTACAGAGCTCACCTCAAGGAATGTTGGCTTTAAGTAAGGCAAAGTCCCACACTAAACTAATAATCTAGGAGTGTGCATTCCTAGATGCAACATTTATGCAATTTTGGTCTGATAGGACTTGCAGGTACTTGGGAATAGACTTATCTGAAAACTTAAAACTAGTCACTCATCCAGAAAATGTAAGTCAAATCCAGCATCCGAAGCAAGTTTTGAGATTGTTCGTCCCTTGATGCATCATCCATGCAAGTTTGGTTCAGATAGGCCTTATAGTTACTTGGAAATGAGATCTGCTCCAAAAACTTTAACCTGGTTACTCATCCGGAAAATGTAGGTCAGATCCAGCATCCGAAGCAAGTCCAGTAGTGTGAATCCTTAGATGTATCATCCATGCAAGTTTGGTCAATATAGGGTTTATAGTTACTTGGAAATGACATCTGCTCCAAAAACTTTAACCTGGTCACTCATCCCAAAAATTTAGGTCAGATCCAGCATCCGAAGCAAGTCCAGTAGTGTGCATCCTTAGATGTATCATCCTTGCATGTTTAGTAAATATAGGGCTTATAGTTACTTGGAAATGAGATCTGCTCCAAAAACTTTAACCTGGTTACTCATCCGGAAAATATAGGTCAGATCCAGCATCCGAAGCAAGTCAAGTAGTGTTCATCCTTAGATGTATCATCCGTGCATGTTTGGTCAATATAGGGCTTATAGTTACTTGGAAATGAGATTACTCCAAAAACTTTAACCTAGTCACTCATCCGGAAAATGTAGGTCAGATCCAGCATCCGAAGCAAGTTCAGTAGTGTGCATCCTTAGATGTATCATCCATGCAAGTTTGGTCAATATAGGGCTTATAGTTACTTGGAAATGAGACCTGCTCCAAAAACTTTAACCTGCTCCAAAAACTTTAACCTGCTCCAAAAACATTAACCTGCTCCAAAAACATTAACCTAGTCATTCTTTAGCTGAAATTGCAGCATCTGAAACCTTGACTGGTACAATAAAACACACTAGAAGCATCGTCCATGCATCTCTGACTAATATGGGCCATAGAAGTACTTGAAAAGAAAACTGCTCCAAAAACCTTAACCTGGGACGCCGACACCGACGCCGAGGGTATTACATAAGCTCCCCCAACTTCGTTGAGTTGAGCTAACTAGAGGTACTGTGAGCACTGAGCTCACAAAATGACGCACCCCTTTGCCATATCATGGCCGTAGGAACCGGGGGTGGGGGGAACGGTTTGGGGGGGGGGGCGTGCCCCAATAAGTTTGCCGATATATAGATAACTATAGAAAACAAAGCTGCTATATGCTTGTGCCCCCTCGATAAAAACGTCCGATGACCTTTTTTTTCTTGTCAAGGAATGTTTGGTAGTTGATAATGCCCCCAACTGAAAATGTATGGTTGTGCCCCAACTGAAATTGCTTCCTAGGGGCCTGCGTATGATTATAGACATAAGAAGGGTCACAATTGCACTATGTTATAAAAATTCATGTGAAAGTCTCATTAAATTTTATTCAGTGGTATACCCTTACCACAAGGGTATGGAGTTTACCCTTACCACAAGGGTATGGAGTTTATGTCTCCCAGTTGCTTCGTTACGCAAGAGCATGCTCTACTTACGAACAATTTCTAAAACGAGGCAAGCTATTGACAAAGAAGTTGCTGAAACAAGGATATCAACAGTCTCGTTTAAAGTCAACATTTTGCAAGTTCTAGGGATGCTTACTCCCCCTTGGCACCTGATCCCTGATCAGGTGAGATACAGTTATTTGAACATTGGTTTTATTAGAGGATCGTTACCGATACATATTGTAATGAATTAATTTTATTTATACAGCATTTTAAAACAACTCTTAAACTAACATAACTGCCCTAAGTGAAGAAATAGATGGCCGAGCAGTCTAGCACGCTGTTCCTGTACTGCTAGGAGACAGATTCCGTAGGTCGAGAGTTCAACCCCGAGTTGGGGCGAAAGTGGGTATCCTTATAAAAGTGAATTTCTTTGTGCTTTCTATATTAATATTTCTTCACTTAGGACAGTTATGTTAGTTTAAGAGTTGTTGTAAAATGCGCGGTATAAAAAAAATTAATTCATTACAATATGTATCGGTAACGATCCTCTAATAAAACTAATGTCCAAATAACTGTATCTCACTTCCATTCTCAATGACCGTGTAGTGTAGGACAGCGCCGCGAGAATTCCATCGGCATCGAAAGGAGGCTATTTGACTTGCCTAGATAGCCGAGCAGTCTAGCGCGATGTTCCTGCACTGCTAGGAGACAGATTTCGTAGGTCTCGAGTTCAACCCCGGGTTGGGGCGGAAGTGGGTATCCTTATAAAGTGAATTTCTTTGTGCTTTCTATATATATATATATATATATATATATATATATATATATATATATATATATATATATATATGCTTTTCTTGCCTTTGTCAAAAGAATTTTGAATTGTTCGTGAGACTTCTCCAAGTGAAAATCCGGGATCCACCTTGCATGTCTGCAGTGTTTTTTATAATGAAATAATAAATACAAATCTGTTTCAACATGTGTTTTTATGTAATATATTTCATCACTAAACAGAAAACAACAGAATTTACACCCACTTTTTTTACAAACTGAATCATTTGTATCAAACCTCAGAATAATTATTTCTGACTTTTATTAAATATTGCACATCATGCACACCTTTTTATAGCACAATTCTCTCTCTCTCTCATTAACATTCTCTCTCAACATCCAGTCACTCCTCTCTCATATCTTCTATTCCCCTTTCAGCGCCAGCTGTCCCTCCCTTCCACACCATTACATGTAATACATGTACCACACATAGAGGCATTACTGACTGCTAACTGGAGCCACATCTAACTTCACTCTAATGTTCATGGCTGCAAGCTCAGCTACCAGGTATCGGAAAACAAAGGGGATGGTGACAATTTGTACAGAGTCAGTTTTCTTACAAGCACGACATTTCCATTGTCTGACCTTTTCGGAGACATCTGCCACAGATCCCTTAGAAGGCTTCTCCAGATGAGGAGCTAAAATACTGCCGCATTCCATACATACATGTGCCTGAATAAAAAGTCAAGTAGGATCAATGTATTCAGCTTCTAGACAGAAATTTTAGCATCATCATAATTGCATTCTTAGTACTTTGAGAATCAAAATAGTGTAACCAACTTTTCCTTAAAAGCATCAGTACATTCTCAAATTATGAAGAATTTATTGGACATTTTGTACAATATTTTTTTAATCCTTGCAAAAATTTTGCAACTGTTTACAAGTAAAAGAAAGTTTGTTCAAACATTCCTTCAATTCTTACGGATTCTTACCTGGGAGATATCACTACGGTCCAGTAGGCGGTCCTTGAGGAGATAAGATGTTCTGTGTGATATGATTCTTACCTGGGAGATATCACTACGGTCCAGGAGGCGGTCCTTGAGGAGATAAGATGTTCCGTGTGATACGATTCTTACCTGGGAGATATCACTACAGTCCAGGAGGCGGTCCTTGAGGAGATAAGATGTTCCGTGTGATACGATTCTTACCTGGGAGATATCACTACAGTCCAGGAGGCGGTCCTTGAGGAGATAAGATGTTCCGTGTGATACGATTCTTACCTGGGAGATATCACTACGGTCCAGTAGGCGGTCCTTGAGGAGATAAGATGTTCTATGTGATATGATTCTTACCTGGGAGATATCACTACAGTCCAGTAAGTGGTCCTTGAGGAGATAAGATGTTCCGTGTGATACGATTCTTACCTGGGAGATATCACTACAGTCCAGGAAGCGGTCCTTGAGGAGATAAGATGTTCTGTGTGATATGATTCTTACCTGGGAGATATCACTACAGTCCAGTAGGTGGTCCTTGAGGAGATAAGATGTTCTATGTGATATGATTCTTACCTGGGAGATATCACTACAGTCCAGGAGGCGGTCCTTGAGGAGATAAGATGTTCTATGTGATATGATTCTTACCTGGGAGATATCACTACAGTCCAGGAGGCGGTCCATGAGGAGATAAGATGTTCCGTGTGATACGATTCTTACCTGGGAGATATCACTACAGTCCAGTAGGCGGTCCTTGAAGAGGTAAGATGTTCTATGTGATATGATTCTTACCTGGGAGATATCACTACAGTCCAGGAGGCGGTCCTTGAGGAGATAAGATGTTCCATGTGAAATGATTTTTACCTGGGAGATATCACTACAGTCCAGTAGGCGGTCCTTGAAGAGGTAAGATGTTCTGTGTGATATGATTCTTACCTGGGAGATATCACTACAGTCCAGTAGGCGGTCCTTGAAGAGGTAAGATGTTCTGTGTGATATGATTCTTACCTGGGAGATATCACTACAGTCCAGGAGGCGGTCCTTGAGGAGATAAGATGTTCCGTGTGATACGATTCTTACCTGGGAGATATCACTACAGTCCAGGAGGCGGTCCTTGAGGAGATAAGGTGTTCCGTGTGATATGATTCTTACCTGGGAGATATCACTACAGTCCAGGAGGCGGTCCTTGAGGAGATAAGATGTTCTATGTGATATGATTCTTACCTGGGAGATATCACTACAGTCCAGTAGGCGGTCCTTGAAGAGGTAAGATGTTCTATGTGATATGATTC